ACCAAATGTAATGAGGTATACAAACCATTCATCACCTTCCATTCAATTGCGCATTTTGTACTGAGTCAAAGTAGATGTATGAAAACAAGCATCATGGTCTTTTGACATGTAAAATACAATCAACTTTTATCTTGTTATTTTTAGACACAAGTCACTTCTCTGATACAAAACGCCAAGATTTAAATGCCTTATATGATGGAATCAGTCTTACTGATTACGAATCACTGTGTTGAATCAGAAGTCTTTCTTGTTTAGGGGTGAAAAAGGATACAAACGCATGGTTCTTTTCATAAGCAACGAAAAGTTTTGCATTGTATATTGTTCGGCATAAATAGCCGTTACGAATGCATACAAAGAATTTTTTCTCCTTAGGTATAGCTAATTACAACTTTAATTAAGGGAAAGTAAGTGTATTTCTAATGACTTTATCTAGTGTTGTAACATGTCAGATGATCTATTAATAGTTGTTATTAATAAAACACAATACATCTACACTCCAATGTAGCGAGGCATTTCGCTGTTCAACGCGCAAATCATTAGAAGGGACGGCTGAATGCATCACTTTAAATCTGTTTCCTTTTTGACCAGAGATTTTGGAACTCACACTGTGGTGGCCGTTGAGGCAGGAGCCGTGGTGGCTAAAATTGATAGTCTCACCAGTTCCAGCAGGGATATGAGCGACAAGGATAAGCTGGAAGCTGGAACTTCTGCCTCGGCCTCCTTTGCCAGCCTTTTCGATTTCAAAACATCCACCAAGTTGGGTACAGATCAAAAGATGGTAGGTAGAATTATATCAGTAATAATAAAATAAATAACATCTTACTTTTTCTCCAAATAATTCAAGTTTTGAGTGTACTGTTCAGACATATGCATCAACACTTGTATTCCTGACTATGTAAGGCAGTTATTACTCACTCCAATATTTACGCCTTTGAGGCTTATGCTAGGACAAAACTAATCCTCTTTTGAATAGAAGAACGACTTTCGATAAACAGTCATTTTAAGAATTTGCCATTTAGGTGGAGGCGTATAATTCAAAGGTGGCCTCAAGTTTCATCTTAAGCTACGGTGGGCCCAGTCTCAAGGCCAGTGACATGAATCTAACAGAGTGGGAGAGGAATCTGGCGAATCATCTTGTAGCGGTCGACCGTCGAGGGCGACCAATTTACGACCTCATCACGCCTCGCGCACTGCCAGAGCTCAGCGAATCGCTCACCTTTCGTCTTGCAGCAGCGGTGAAAGCTGCTGTAGTGCGCTACTACGAAGCGAACTCCTTGATCGGTAAGTCAAACACATCTAAATTGTAGAAATATTAGCAAATGTTATGGTCAAATGTATGTGATAAAACGGCTAAACTGGTTACACCGCGCACACTTTTCGGATGACATGCCGCTAGCAAGCATGACTCCTACATAAACAATCGGACCAACATTATCGTCCGCTACGTCTCACGCGGTTTTGATATGTCTGCGTTTGGCTAGATATTTAGCAGTGGATTATGACTACAGTTCCATTACGGTGCTACATCTGCATATTCCGATGTTAAATTGCATAGAGCATCGACCTAGATTAATCAAAAAATGTTATTTGTAAAAAATATTTTAACCATATATACTTTGCGGCGGTGATTCTTATTCGGACTAATCAACGAACATATTCAAGAATCATCACGCTGAAAGGTAAATAAACCAGCGTAATCTTGTCACTTTGACAGTAATGCCTTTTATGTTGTACGAAGTGGTAAAGGATGGTCATGCCAACTGTTACAAGCGCACCGTCAGTTTGCGTGCGATGATTATTCGACACATATTGCTAGGGAATGAATTTGATAACGTAAGTGATGCATAATACAATAAACACATGTCCATTCCCTTTAAGCAAGTTCATTCAGACTTAATAAATGGAAATAACTGAGTATCCTTGTAACGACCGATGCATCTATTAACGTTTCAAATGGTTTGTGAATTTGAATTATTCAGGCTGTCTCGATCCTGCATCAACCGCCTACGACAGCGACGCCAACGTGGCTGCAGACAACTGCGATGACTTTCCATACCAAGACCAAACTACAGACGTCCAGGGAGGACAGCTGCCTTTGGGAGGAGTTTACACAACCTGCAAGGGTCCCAGTGACCTCTGCTCGCGTCACATAGCACCCAACTTGGCCACCGGCAATACTTCCTGTCCAAGGGGCTTTATGCCGGTGGGTCTCCTGCCCCCACAGGTACGGTCCTGTGCGGTAGCCTGCCAGGACCGCAAGGTCTTCCAAGAGCCCCTGTGTGTGCATGAATGTGCAGTCACTCGCGCTTTCTGGTGCGCTCTCGATCCATCAACTGAAACAGATGGGAAGAATGAGCTCGGCTTCCTCTTCGGCGGTATATATACCGACACCACGATGAACCCAATCACCAAGGCGCAGTCCTGTCCCCCATACTACGAGGTGCAGTCGGTGGGCCGACGCATCCAGCTCTGCCTGTCAACAGACTTCGAAATGGGACGTCGGTACTCCTTGGCTTTTGGCGGCTTCTACACCTGTCAGTCGGGCAATCCGCTGTATGACGTGCTCTCTCTCAACTCCAGCTCACTGAAAAGAGTTCAACAGGTCAGAAGAGGGTTGCATGCGGGTTTAAAAATCGGCCACAGTGATTATAATGGAAGTACGAGTGGAGAAGATCCGGGCATTATTTGGTCCAAGCGGTGCCCTAATGGGTATACATCTCACATGGCTGCAATTGAAGACACTTGTCTTGTGAGTAGCATAGGGAGTTCTGCAGTGACTCATTGACTTTGTTCATGAATATTCAAAGCTATGCTGAAAGTTTAACAGTTAGTTATGGGAATGGAGAATTGTTACGTTCCAGTTTGCCTATACTAACACTGTTCTACTGGCCAAATATCTAAAATTAGAATGCTTTATCCTGCTTTGCCTCTAAGCTCAGTTATTTTGACATTTGTAAGAAAAATTCTTATAAAAACGGAAATAACATTTACTTTGACAGAAATATGCAATGCATGGCCCGTCGAAATGCTTTTGATTAGTGAAGGCATATTGCGTCACCCGTTGACTTACATTGTTCTTATAAGCACTACGTGCATGGATATAGGAACATGGTTTATAACTAGCATATTTGTAAATGAAGCAAAAAACATTGGATTTGTTTAGATAAACTGCTGCATTCCTGGCAATTCACTTAAAGTGGTCAAAGAACGCACACTCAAGCGACCTCCATTTGTCCAACTGGTAAGTCGTTTCGCACACTTCAGATTGGATTATATTAAAAACTACTTATTTATTTAACGATCGCTTTGTATCAACCCATTTACTACCAAGTCCACAAGTCTATGATTCCTGATTTAATAATCCCAATCCGGCACCACAAATACGTGAAATGTCTTCTCTATCCATCTATGACGATCAGTTGCATCAAATTGTTGTAAAAGAATCGGCAGAGTTTTCAAGTAATGTAGCAAACACGAAAGTTCCTTTGTGGGGAGACACTTTTTTAATTTTTTGGTTTCAAGCAGCGGCCGAAATGGTAAAAACTATTGCCACTTGATCCCCCATCAGAACAGCAAACATCTGGGGTGTGATGTTTGGTTTTCTTTAGAGGCCCTAGTAGCATATGTACTAAGTTAGAGGTGTTAACAAGCAGAAAATGCCTTGTGCAGAGATAGCCCTACAATCCAACGTCTTTCTTTCCCCAAGCCGGACTTTGCAAGCATTGAAACACCGTTGGATCTTCAAAAGTCTCTGAATCAGCCCCTTCGTCTGGTCGATACCTATTCCGGCCGAACCTATCACAATCAGGAAGGTGAGTGGGTCCCGGACGAGGCTGCGGCCGAGCCAGTCAATACGAGTGCATCAGCCTTCCTCATTTTCGCTGTCGTCATGCTCGTGATTCTTTTCGTGGTCGTGATGGGATTCATCATTCACTATGCCTACAGGCGGGTGGCGTGCTCGCGGCAACAAGGTCCATTCAACCCGACTGAGGACTCCACTGCTTAGTGTGAATGAAAAATAGCACTGGTTTTTTAGGTGTATACTGAACCACAAATAAGTTTATAAAAAGTACTGCTTGAAACCCACAGAGACGTAGTTAGTTGACAGTCTTAGTAGCAGGATAAATAGGGTGTAGGTGTTGATAAGGACGTATGATCTTGTCAAGGCAGCCCTACCGGATCAACTTTGGTGAAAGTAACTAATGGGAAACACAGTGCTAGTTCGCATGGCAAGCTGTGTGACCGTGCCCTCTTGTCAGTCCATTTGCTTGAGTTCGGATGACAGAAATCAGCAAAACAGTGCCGGGATTGAAAGCAGTGAATACGAAGCTCGTGTAGCCGTGGCCGTCTTCGACACTTCTCAGTAGCTTCTAAGTTTAAATTTTATCATGCTATTTTGCTGTTAGTTTTTTGCTTCCATGATCTGGATTAATTGCCAGTATCAAGACTGGTCAAACCTTGGAGTTGCCTTGAGACTTACTCCGGATGAAAGAGAAAGATCAAGTATAAGAATTGAATAAACCGGGACGTCAGTGGCGCATGTGTTGCATTAATGTTTGCTCTTGGTGTTTACTTCCTGACTTAAGAAGTAAACATTAACTAGTTCCAAACCAAACAATTTTGTGAACATAACTAAGTACTACTCCAAGACGGTAACCTACTGTACATCGTTAAGTACATTTAGCCATTGCTAACGTTGCGTTCAGGAATCTGATCTTCAGACGGAGCATTGATACTGAATCTCCGAAACAACATCACACTGCGAGCAGGTGAACAAAAGTGGCCGTCCACGTCAACAGGTCTGTGCACTTGTGGAAACATACCAGTACGGTGAAAAAAGGACGTACAAGTGGCGTTTGAGCTAACTTAAATGCGCAAAGCTTCATGGTTTTCAAATAATTCGCACGATCTTCTCCGTGGGATTGAGACCCGCTTAGCTAGATTCCCTTCAACCTACGTATGTCGCAATATTTACATCCTCACCTACTCTTATGCTAATGCGCGCGATCATATGGGTCTTTTTCCACAGATCAAAGCGTTAAGTGGATAGCTATCACTTGCACTACTGAGTAATATGCAGTACCTTACATTTACTAGTTGCACACACCGATATAGCTCCACCACTAATGCACTATGGACGGCACGGCATCACTGACTAAAGGGATAAAAAACCTTAAGCGCTACATCAACTCACACAAAGTAGTCACAATCCGCTTAGGGGTGAGAAGTGTGAATCAGCACGGTCACCAACCTTCAACTTTGAAAACACTCGCCCTGGGACAGACAATGTGGGCCACTCTCCCTGGGGATAAAAAAAACGTCAGTAATCGAACCGAACGTGTGACCCAACCCACCCGAATACCAGATTATATCTACTTGAGTTAAAAGTTATGGTTGAAGTGGGAATTACACGATTCGATAATAGCATTTGTGTAGCACAAGATGCAAACATCCTTGAAGCACGGTAAGAAGGCGGGTAATGAAGTAACCAAGACGAGACGACACCTTACACGCACTGACTCAAACCCGCCCGGTCCATCTTCAGTAACTTAAAGTTCTTGAAATCAGACAGAAATAAATGCAAGCGCATCGTAAGCGCCCTAACATTCAACAAGTAAAACCCGTTTAACTGATGATTAGACGATCGCTGTCAGTCGAACACATCAAGAGAGTCTCATCTGAAAACCTTGGCAGTTCCCTGCATCACTGCCAAATTTAAGTGATCCAGACAATTCTAATCGATTATTACAATCCGTTGGTAAGACAAGTGGGTATATGAAAACTGTGAATTATCATCAAATCAGTCGGCCCATAAGATTACATAGGTTTGATTCTCTCTAAAATATGCATATCCTTCCAAACATTGTTAGATTTAAATAAACAAGGTTAAAAAACGCTCGCTGAAATCTACTGAAAGCCTTTTGGAGCAATGATTCCGTTGTATTTAAAGGTAGTTGATTTCGCTCTAGAATGGGTCTAGTGAGCAGAACGCGCCAGGTTCTCGTATCTTCCGAGTACTGCACCTCATTTTCTCCAGGTTTTGAGAGCCGATCAAGAACGTAGTCACACTTTTCGAGGTTAAAGAAAGTACCCTCTTCGGGTAAATTCATGTCATTGAAATGACTGCTTGGAAATCGGGTGGCTTCAAGGATGCCGACTCCTTCGGCAAACTTTCCGGGGAGCTGACCAGAGAAGTTGGATCGCAGAAAGTGCACCCTCCAGCCGTGATTTTCACGAGGTAGGAGAAAGTGGCTTGGAAAATGATGCCAATCACGGCCGGTGCAGAGCGTTTTTAAAGCCTCCGAGACTGGCAAGTGCTGGGCGAGGTACATTGGAGCGCTGTAACCTTGTGTCAGCGCAAGAATTCTGGACAAACTCAGTCCAATAAAGAGAAGCAGAAAGGATAGCACAATGGAGATAGAGAAAGGTGTACCAGTTGGGATTTTCCCGCTGTGATTGAAAAACAGAACGCACATTAGGAGAGTGACAAGCAAATCCAAACAGGGGAAGCATGGGAAGAGAAAGCGTTCTTCTTTATGAGATTGGATGAAAAACACCAAATTCCACATGAAGAGGGGCATCAGCGCAATACAGAGCAGAGTGAAAGCCCTTTGGTGGAAGCCTGTTTCAGTTTTCCATCCAATTCTGAGAGCGACGCAGGTAAACACTGGTATTGTGAAGATTGCGATGAAAACGATTACAATATTATAATTCAAGAAGTAGTTTATAACGTAGTAGGCTGCTGTTTCCGTCCCATAAAGCTGTGAGAGGCTTCGGCCTTTAAGACTGGAAAGCGCATTATAGGAAATTATGTTCCAAGTAGGAAATATCAATCTTCCATAGTAGAAAGTGTCAATAAGTACCATTGGCGTGATAAGAGCAAGTGCCCAAAATATAGAATACACCATAAGTTGGGCAATCATTCCAGAAAAAATTAGGAAGAGTGCCAAGGGTACTCCGAGAACGGCTGAAAATGGCCACACAATGATGGTGCTAACAGCAACGGCACCCACGCTGCAGAAGTATTGGCCACTTATCCATGAACTCAACATCAATGACGTTAGAGAAGCAACCAAAGCACTTGGAACACTTGAAGAAGCAGAAATAAAATTACCGGGAGCGGCTGAATGAAATAGACAAAATAAAACTCTGAATGTGAGCCGTTTAAGCCCATTATCGGGATAGAGATATAGTGAACTGGAATCCGCCAGTAGACTAGAAGACATGGCAGACACCAGGGACAAAAGCAATCTGACTCCGAGGAATTGCAACCACCCCGGTAACCCAAATCTAGCCAAAACGTAAGCAGGCCATCCGACTACCCAAAGATACAAATATGAACGTAGGCCGAACTGGGGAGAATACTCCCACGTTTGGAATCCGGTATTGTTTGCCGTGGAGACGATGAATCCAAGGGGTTCCAGGTAGTTGAAGGTCTCGTCACAATCATTTATGTTATTCCAAACCGTTGAACATAACGCAGCTAAAATACCAAGCTTCAGGTCCAAAGTGAACATCATAGATAATTAACACACCCCGCATACCGACCCAAATCTAATAGCCACTCAAATCAGGGAATTTAATTTTCCACCCTTGTGATAAGCGAATTCCTAATGAAAATACTTAATGTTTTTGTAGGAATACTGCATACACTATTTTCACTAAATATTTTTGCAATAACAATGGACATTTTCCAAAAAATTAATGCAGAGAATTCGAACAGCAGCAATGCGTTCGCCTTCAGTTTGATTCAGCTTCATACTTAAGCAAATCCTACTCATTTCTCCTAATTGTCCATGAATATGGGAGTGTCTTAAACGCAAAATATAATGTAATACGATGATGGTTTATCCCTTGGTAGTGATAAGACGCCACTTTTGAACTTTTGAATTGGCCTTCTTGTACCCCGCTGGGTGGGCTGACCTTCGGGCCATGCCAGCAGCCCAAACACCTCTGTTCTAAACACATACATATTTTTCCCGGAGTATTGTGTCTCCTTTCGTTTTCAGAGAAGTCTCGGGGCGCTACGATAATCACGTGAAATGGATTTCCCGCTAACGATGCATTTGAGGTGGCAAGCGACCACTACACTAACTTCGTGGCTCAGTAGAAGTCATCGGTTTCAAGGGTAGAGGCAGCTACTGATTTTCCGCAAAAATAGAATGCTACATAACAAACTCTAGCCTTCCAACCAATCGCCTCTGCTAAAGTATTTGAGGCCGAAGGCTGTAGGTACGGCAAGGCATTATTTTTTTTCTGGCACCTACAAGTTTGAGAATAAATTCGGGAATATTGGTCAGCAGCTTTCACTTTTAGTAATATTGTTGCTCTTCCGAAATAATGGACAGAGCTTCGACGGTACATTGCCGCAGACGAGACACTAGTAACCTCCCCGTCATCCCGTTTTAGGCCCATTTCTCGGGCGACATGGGTTTAACATTTAGAAAGATGATGGAGACTGTGGTGGACAATTGTGCTTAAGTTAAAATGAAGACAATGAATTGTCGGCAAGGAACAACAGTTTTGGGAGTGGAGCGATTAAGTCAATTTGGGGTCGTGGGTTCCAACTTAGTCGTATGCATTACTAAAAGAAAATAGTTAGGCATATTTAAAATGGATAGTATTTCATTTAAAATGTTTATTTAACATGTAGATAAGTACTGGCTTAGCATGACAATACTACTAGTTCTCATGCTCATGATAACGCTCAGAGACAATTCCTAATAGCCTTCCAGTCATTGATTGCTTTACGTTCTCTGAGGAAAGACAGGCTATCTAATTCTTCAGAATCTATAAAAAACATACTTGACAGCATGAAAACGATTATCAATCGACGAACGTGACGGGCGCCTAAAGGCGCTCCCTTCGCCTGCATTGGGATCGAAGATGGGAGGTGGAAGGATGAGCCTGTCACATGGCACATTCCAGATTTCTCGAGCATAGCTTGCGATTGTGCGATCAGAGGAGAATTTAGCGCTGGAGGCAATGTTTAAGAGGCACATGCGGGCCCATTTCTTCTGATTCTAAAAAATAAAAAAATGTACGGCTTATGGACAATTCTATAGAATCCTTTGTTGATATTATTGCTGAAATTATGTTGCCGTCAGTGAAATGTAAACGAAAAATTAGGTTAGAAATATTTAGCAAAATCCGAAGCCTGGGACACTTGCTTTGTAGGTGTCTTCAACTGCAGCTTGAGCAATTAGGTACTTGGTAAAGTCAGCGCAAAGCATGTAATAATCGCGACCAGTCAGTTCATCGTATAGCTCCTTGAACCGTTCTGGCTCTTCGGGGCAGAAGAAGCCATTTTTTATCTGATCCAGGCACTCGCGGAGTTCCGGAGAGTTGGCAATAAAGGAGGTCGGATTATACCTGCGTTTACAAAGACAGTATGTCATACCATGTCACAACTATCTCAAAATTACTGCGTTTCCTGAAAATCACCCGTTGCACTTTAGATCGTCCAGCTCATTGACTGTATGACCGAAGATAAACATATTCTCACGACCCGCTTCCTCTGCCATTTCAACATTCGCTCCGTCAAGAGTGCCAATCGTAAGGGCTCCATTCATCTGATGTGAAAACCACGATAAAATTTACAAGTCTTAAGTCCCATATTCTAAATACATTTTCTTAAAAGGTGGGGCTTTTTAATAACCACTAGCATCTAGGTTTATTCTAACATCAAAGGTTTGCCTACTACTGACATAAAAAATGTTGTTCGATAAGGGAAGAATCGCACCATGAACTTCATATTTCCGGTGCCCGAAGCTTCCATGCCTGCAGTTGAGATTTGCTGCGACAGATCGGCGCCGGGTATTATGTATTGCGCGAAGGTGACGCGGTAGTTCGGAAGAAATACAACCTTATAAAAATGAAGAAGACCATTACATACTTTTAGCTACGATACTTTTGAGTTTTTCTTTTACAAGTTCCATACGAGAAGAATAATGCAACACAATTATAACAAGGAGGTAAATGGGGCCCTCTTCCAGTCTTCACATGTGATCACTACTTGATTTGAAGACTTACACTGTTTCAATGATTGTATGAAGTTAAAATAGAGGGCTCCAAATGCTCCATACGGCGATAATATATTCAACGAATAACTGTGGCTGGGCGTCACATCAGATGCCAACTGTTTGTTATTCCAACGGTATATCAGTGCAAAGTAATAGTGCCGGCAACAGATTAAATTGAAGCAGTTGGAGCATTTGATTTCAAACGCCATTTAAATGACCTCTTTGTAATTGCATAATTAATAATAGGTTTAAATAACTCCTATAAAAAGGTTAAACATTGAGTTATTTTGAAAAAGGAGGTACAAGTTACCTTAAGCTTGGAGCTAGCGGTAGAATCATTGTTAATTTTTCGAGCAATACAATTGATGAAGTTGATTATCAGCTTTGCTCGGGGATATCCGGGTGCTGCTTTACCACCGATCATGACCGTCCTTGGGACCATTTCAATTTGTGGATCTCTTCTTATCCTATTGTACATTGCGACGACGTGCAAAGCATTCAACAGTTGGCGTTTATACTCGTGAATGCGTTTCACCTTAAAAAATTTACTAGCGATATGAACTCTAGCTGCAGTAAAACCTTGATTTCAACACCGAGACAAATGCACAAACAGATAAAATAAAGACTCCATCGACGATGCTTAAAAACCAAACTAATTAATTGTTAATATATGAAAACATTTGTAAACCAAGCTCCATTACTTAATACGACGGGAAAAATGTGTGTATTTTAGAAGCGCAACCTCGCGTTTTCATGTGTCCAAAACTTACACCTAGCGGATTGCCAATGAATGATAAGAGGTAGCACAATGTCAAATTCTACGTAGGTTTTTGATCACTTTTTCGTCATTCGTGGTAATATGAGTCGAGTTTCATAATTTCCACGCGACCATTATGCAACCATTTCAACCAAGAAAATATTTTACCTTCTGCAATTTTAGGATATTAACTATCCAATTTTGTTTGAAGGTCACTGCTTTTGCAATTTTTCTTTGTATAGCATCCATACATATCCCGCTAGATCATACACAAAGCTGTTCTTACCTGAATGTCAAACATGGTATTTGGGTTAACTTCGACGTTCAATATGTGGAACAGGTAGTTGGCAAGTTTCAATTTATTCTGATGTTTTATCTGAAAGAAAGTAATGATTTTGCTCAGATGGGTATGACTTGTTAAGAAAATCGCATTTGATATCCTTACCTTCATAAGCGCTTCGAGCACGGAGTCGTCGTCAGCATATTTCTTCATGCCTTGAATCCTATCAAAATCCACAACCCATTCTTCACCCAGCTTCTCTGTCAGCAAGTCAGAAAGACCGGGATTGCAAAGTTTAAGCCAACGACGTGGGGTAACGCCGTTTGTTTTGTTTGAGAACTTTTCCGGCCACAATTCATAGAAGTCTTTGAATCTGGTAATTTTGAAGAAGGGTTCAAAGGTGGAAAAACTTATCGTAGGAAGTAAAACCAAGGAATATGGATGAGATGATCTAGCTCCGAGAGAAAACCAACAAGTGAAGTATTTGTACAAAACAAAGTTTTTACATAAGGAGAATGTTCAATGACACAATTCTCGACATTTATTCATGCTATTTTTTATGCTAAAATCCCACGTAAGGCATTGAGATGCAATACAATCCATTTTTAAAATCCTCGATTTGTAATTGCAGTATTTTTTGGGAACTAATTTTAGCCAATATAGAGCATTGAGTTGAAAAAAAAGCAGTAAGAATTGGATCCTGGTGAATAAAGGGAACCCTGAAAATTGCTTACCAGTATGCACAGCAGTCATCAAAACACGAACTAATGACTTCAGCCTTTAGATCAATAAATTTTTAATGCATTTTATAGGTAACGTAGAAAGCGGGGTTTTTATATGAAAATCAGCGATTTCTTTTGCTTCGACTAAGTTTTATTGTCTTAGTACACGACAAGACAGTAATTTGTAGTCACTGAAAATACGGACTTCACTAGGTAAAGAGAAGTATCGCTTTTTTGCTCTAAATTGAAACCACGCGTGACTTATTTTACAAAATTGGGCACGAAATCACCTCAAACCAATTATGTATTTCAGTCTCTTGCTGTTTAGAATGCCAGCTAAGTTCCAGCTACTATTCTGTGAGTTAATTTTGTGGTTATCTACTCGTATTTAGCTGCACAAAACTGAGACAATTTGTTCCGCATATGTACAACTGGCTTTGAGATAGCCTCAAAGGAAACAATTACTTCAAACTGCATAATAACGAAGTGTGGAGCATTTTTGCCTAAAATAACCATAGTTCATTTATTAACAATGAAACAGGGGTTAATAAGTACCTACACGGAGTTCTTCAATATCTCTGTGTGAAGTGCAGCAACGCCATTGATACTATGCGATCCGACTATGCAGAGGTTAGCAGTTTTCAAATTCTTGGAACCTTCGTCGTTAAAGATTGACATCCGATATACTCTTTCAGAGTCATTGGGATACTTCCTGCGCAGCATCTAGACCAAGTCTAGGTTTTAATATCCCCTACAGAATTGACTTTGTTTGCAAGCAATTTATCTACTGACCATCCTGACGTAGCAAAAATATCCACTGTCCCTATTATTAAGCCTACAAAAAGATGACTCTAATATTTTCAATGCGTTTGATCACTATGATATTTAAACCTGATCCGAAGCGTTGATGGATAAGGAAGAATTAGATGTACTGAGTTAACTCATTTGTTCCAATGCCCCACCGTTACGGTGGCAAATGTATTAATACAAGCTGAGTGCATTACACACTAAGCTTACCCCCAATAGAGCATAAGTCCTTCGATTCTCTTCAATATAAGGAAAATCACAATTACTGTAAATTTTTAATGACTTTCTCTCTAGCATAACCAATTCAATAAGTTATTTAGCTCTCAAAATGTGCAGATATACTGGTTAACTTTAGCTAAAAATGCCTTCCATGACAAATGGGAACTGCATCATATTTATAATTTACTACAATCGCTGAAGATGTTTCAACTATTACTTATGATTGTGATAGTTGAGTGCCTTAAGGTTTGAAAGAAATGGAACGCACATCGCAAAAATCCTGGTTAATTTTGAAAACAATCTCTAGATGTCGAGGTAACATTCTCCCAATCAGGTCAACTGACCAACGTTCCATAGCCTCTGGAAGGACGGTGTGATTTGTGTAAGAAAAAGTTTTTTGGACGATTCCCCAAGCCTTTAAATAAAAAATTTACAAATACTATTCCATTTAGATGAGATTTTAGCTTAATATATAAGTCCGGTATGAGTTGTAAATGATCATATGCAGAATATAGAGAAGATAAGGATATAAAATACTTATTGCTGCTTTTTGTGCAACTAATAGTGCCCATAGTCTTTTAGATACAGTAAATCTCTTATAAAAATATGGTTGAAAACATGTGTTTGTAAAATACGCAAAATATGTAGGTAGAAGAGCTTGTTGTACTTTATCAGGTAAGTTATTTATGAGTAATATAATCACCTGGTCCCAGCCAACACCCTCAATATCAACCAGAAGCCGCATCATCTCTGGAATGCCCATGGATGGATGCGTATCGTTAAGCTGGATGGCAACTTTTTCGGGTAACTGAGAAAAGTCCTTTCTTCTGGGACCATGCTCATCCACCATTTGATAACGCCTAAGAATGTCCTGACAAGCCGCCGAAACAAGCAGGTATTCCTGCTTCAAACGAAGCTCCTTTCCTTCGAGTGTGTTGTCGTTTGGATACAACACTCTAGCGATATTCTCGGCTAAGTTACGCTGAAGGACAGCCTAAAATAGATATTTAGATAATTAGTATCTCTTAAAATGCAATGAATGGTTTTAATCTTATGAAAAAATGTGATGACGCTTCTGTTTTAACAGCAAAAACGGCTACGTAAACTAACTTCAATATAACCACCCGTATTAAAAGTTGCCAGGTCAAAGTTTTTTGGTGCCTTGCATCCCCAGAGTCGAAGTGTGCAACAGACATTGCACATGTAGCCGGGAATGGGAGTATCGTAAGGTACCGCATATATTACTTCAGTGTTTGTCCACGTTCTTCGATCACCGTACACTTCAACTTTACCATAAAAATTTACAGGGAAGGAAAATTCTTGACGCACTCGTTCCCATGGGTTGCCAAAGCAAAGCCAATCATCGGCCTCCTCATACTACAAAGATGAAACTTGTAAGGTGTAATTAGGAAGCAACTCAGCCCATCATTTTTCAGCAAATACCTGCCAGCCATTATTAAGTTTTTGTTCAAAAATTCCGTAATCATATCGAATACCATAACCTGTTGCAGCGATTCCTAGATTGGCCATCGAATCCATAAAGCAAGCCGCTAAACGCCCCAGTCCGCCATTCCCGAGGGCGGCATCTGGTTCACAGTCTTCCAAGTCTTCTAAGTTTAGCCCCATCTATGGGTTGAAAGGCATGCAGATATGGTAACAAATAAAAGGCTTTAAAATTGTCTCTCTAATATACGTTTTAATAACTCTGTGCGTAAGGTATCCGAATCTTCTAAAACTTTTAAAAGTTCTGTTTCTGGGACTAATCAAATACAATATACCAGAAATAATGCAAGTCGTGGTAAATACACCACATACTGCCCACTAAGACCTAGGATCTATAGACACAACAACTGACAAAAAAACAATAAAATTAGAAAAGGTACAATAAAGTTAAGCAATCATTAAGGAGCCGCCATTTTTAACTTGGGATTCGCTAATATGTTTTACAGAATTTAAGGGATTATTTTGCATAGCAACCAATGCTTTGGCACACTTGACACCCAAAAATTACAAAACAACTAAGGAGTATTAAGTTAACTTACGTTATGCAAGCATTCTTGAACGGGATCCCTAAGAGCAAGATTAAGAATAGCATTTCCTAAGGTTCGGCCAATGAAGAACTCCATTGACAAATAGTACACTCTCTAAAATACCTATTTAATAGCATTGTACTTTCATGTCTTCCTTATAAAATTTTTGTTTTGACCGAAGCCATCGCAAACTCAGGCGCTCCCAAATGGTATTCGACAGTGCCAGGTAGTAATCTCGTAAACTAGCAGTGTGTGAGTCTTTGGCCAGGGTAACATGAAGGTGAGTATTTATATCGCTGTGTAAACACTTTGCTGTATCACATTGGGGAATATACGAAATGCTTATGTTTTTTGGCCTGGTGCTCATTTCACTAATTCAGCTAGGTAACGTGTTACCGCAGATTTCTTTTGCAGTTGCTAACCTAGACAAGGTTCAAGGTTAGTATTAACATTGAGTAGGTAGCATAAAATTAGGTAGTTAATCCTTAACCCTTAAAGAAACAAGTTTTTTAAATTTTACTTTCTTAAACATAATAGCGGTAGTTTTTTGCGGCACTTTCTAACTGAAGTTTTTCAAAAGTAACGCATATCTACACCACCTAGAACTCAGGTGGTCAACACCCTTTAGCGATTGTTCTACCTCCACTTTTTATCAAAACACGAAAATCACATCTGGAGAGGCTACCCTTCGGAAAGAATCACTCCCAAGAGCAGGTGATTGCGACGGCATTGCCACCGTACCCAGCACCCACGATTGCACCACATTGCATTAAAGGTGCATTGTGCAACACACCCATCCACACATTAAATTCGCCCAGATTCCCACACTGTCACAGGCACAAGTCATCGAAATCCGCAAACAGTTATTTAGTACTCCAAGAGGGAAATTAAAAGATGGGACGAAGAAGAGGGCTAGCGTACGAGAGCGGACGAGTACCGCTTTTCCCATCCGAAAAGAAAAATCGCAGGCGTTAACTGTTATCGGAAGCGGCGGAATTGACAATAGGCCCCACCGTAGTCGGACTTAGGTCACTGCCAACATTCTATACGCGAGATTACGCCACACATCCAGCCTGCAACCAAGTTTCGAAGTATCGAAGCATTTGAATTAACGCATTCTTTGTTCAAGTAAATGCTGGCTTCGACAAAGTCTAAAACAGGGATATTTAATGTTAGATCGAATGCCAAAATAATCAAGTTCTTTTCTAATCCAATATGCTAACAGAAGTTGACGGAAAAGTAGCTGAGGATTCCATATTTTGAATAAATCCAAAAAAGCTATCACTGAAACTTCAACACTTACTTGATCACTTCCCGTATCGACATTTTGAGGCAAATAGTAAGAATTGTCCTGAACGTTCCAATTAAACATTTGAGGTCTAAAATGACAATAATGAGATCAGAAACATATCAAAGACAATACCCACAACGCATAAATAGTAAGTAGGCAATGAGCCAAAAAGCGAAGCTGAGTTGATAAGGTATAACTTGAAGAGAGCAGCTGTAAGGCTGGAAAGATAGTTATTTACACTAACCGCTGAACTGATGCGGGGAGATATGGGGGCGGCGGCGGTGGTGGCTGCGCAAAGTGAGGAGGCCAGTTTTCAGGACTGGTAAAATGGGGAGAGGAGGGAAAACGCCACCGCTGTGACGACAGCAGTCCCATCTTTAGGGAGGTAGGAAGATGGCTAGGCTCAAAGACAGTTGGCACTGCAGTGCCACTGGGGACTGTCTGGAAATTTCGATTAGGAATACGATCCCAAGTTTTGGAAAACAAGATCTAAAGGAAAAGAGCACAATCTAAGAGGTGAATTTCGAGTGAAAAAAGAAAATGCATGCCAATTTTGTGCTAATCCCCTTTAGCACTATGAAACACCGCTACCAAAAAACAGGACACAACGATACCAAACATTTACGACGTACTGAAGCATATCGTTTTGGTTGTCTTCCTTCTGATGGATTAAATTTGAATGAATTTGTGTTGCCGGGCTAAAAACAGGAATCCAATGTCAGCGATCATGGAGTTCACAAATACAGATGTGTATGAACAATGGCACTTGTTTGCAAATACCTTGAAAAGGATCACTGAAAAGGCCAACTTATCTAAAAAGCTTCCTCGCAAGACTCATAAAATAACAAACAGGATAAACTCATACCATTAGGGAAAATATCCAAAATAACTTTTCAAATTAGCGGTAATTCACGCTAAAAATACTTCTTTCAAAGCAATGTGTGGCACTTTAAATATAAAAAGCATGTTTACAAGGTTTGATCCTATTGCTTCCGCCTCGTGAATTCGTGAAAATCGAGGAGGAAGATCCCTCTGGAAATTGGATCTCAAAGTGGGGTAGCTATGATTGGCTGTAGTATCCACCCTCGCTGCTTCCTCAAGATGTTTTCTTTGACGAGCCGCAACCTAGAAAAGGATTCGTTTAGGAACCAATGCTGAAGAGTTTAGCCATAAAGTGGAGACGTACCTGACTGGCCTGCTCTTGGATAAAACGAGCTAACTCCGAAGTGTTGATATCATTCATTCTACGCGGTTCGCAGGTTGAACTCAATGGCATTGGTAGTGAAGATGGATTCGGAGATGTGAAGGAATCGTTGGTTGCATGCTCTCTTGGTGCACCAACGCCTACTTCCTTCAAAGGGGATTCGGCGATATCCTATAACAAAGAGCAGGTAAAGGTGTTGAACTCCGCCCAAAATCTGAGCCACTTAATAACAACCATACCAATCGGCATCACAAACACGCACACGCACACACACACACACCCAGTTTTAGCAGACCGTATTGATGCATTACACTGCCGACAAAACATATGCAGCTACGCACTCCTTTCCTATTTACCTCTAGCAGATCCCTAGAACCAGTTTCCACCCCTTTGTTTTGAGTATCCTTTGACCGTTCAAGCGAGATTTCCGGCTCAGGGGTCTCAAATTCCTTCATTTCTGATGCAACCTCAACAATCTCTGGCTGTGATAGCTGTGGGAGACTCGGTGAAATACGATCAACACTTGCAAACGCCTGTTTCGCACCGGACCACTTCAGTAGGCTAGGCAATTCTCCAGCCACGGATCTGGTAAGAAGGATACAGCATAATTAGTAAAAGAAAGCATGTCTGCCTGAGCTACGGGGCGTAACTGTACAATGCGAATAACCTATCGCCATCCATTTACATATAGTTTTAAAATTGTCACCTCTGGGATCTATGGTTCAACCAAAATGTCACATATTACACGAATGTCCGCCAGTCGCGTAACAGTAAAAGAACATCAAGTACATGATCAAATAATTAGCATCTCTGTGAGGATTTCGACTCGGAATCCTACATATAATCTTCGCAGGGAAAGCCTTTACAAATCCAACTGCTGTTTACATTTAAGCCAAAGCTGTGAAAGGCACGAAAGAGACAGTAATTTTCAGCGCTGCAGAAGGGATTTTCAAGGTGAAGAAAAAAGCACTTAAGAAGCAAATACCTGAGAGCATCGACAATAAGGGAGACTCGGTTGCGAAAATAAGCCGCTTGTACATCGGGATCCCCATCAAAAAAAGAATGCGGCATGAGATCAACGTAAGGACCTGATTGGTACGAATTTTTGAAGGCTGGAATGCCCATGGGAAGAAAGCCCTATAAAGAGCAAAAATTACGAGCCCAAATCAACTCAAAAACAAGTACAAGACGTAGAAATTGAGTGACCCACCTGAAGGGCGAAAAGTTCCGGCAGGTCGACTTTGGATAGATCCTCAACTGGGGCATGATCTGAGGAGATGGTGCCCACCAAAGAGTTCAGGAAATCAATCGTTGATTTACTCAGGGGCGGAGCAAACTCAAGAATCTCCGAGTCAGATAATTTACCACTTTCTAATTGCGTGAAAGCTGAACACGTTAGTAATGACGCAAAAAAGTGTGGTGGAATATTTTAGTTAATAAAAAGACGCGGTTGTTGATACCATGTCCAGTCCAAGCAACCTGGGCATAATCGCGGTTAATGCTAATAGAACAAAGGCGTGACCTTAACTGACCCAAATGATACCAGTGATAAAGGTATCACTTCATTTATAATGATCTCAATGTTGGAATGTAACATTACAACTTGCAGACTTAATGTAACTAAATTGAATGAAACATTTACAAAAATAACTATCGAATTCTACTTGACAGTAAATTTAAAGGTGCACCCCGCTGAAATATTATTATGATAAACAACCATCGTTTAAAATTAAATAACTGTCTAAAGAGCACCTGTTTTTTTACAAGAGCACTGAGCCTTTAGAGCCAAGACAGCAAGTAGAACTGGCATAATTGGAAGGTCATTCTTGATCACTGAGCATTTATTGCGAACTGCCATCACAACAGCGCAAAACCAGTTGATCAGAGACACTGTCGTGTACAGGAGGCACTGTCGCAAAGTCTGCAAAGAAGTCGAGCTTTAATTTGTTGCCTACCAATTTACAAATAGGCGAAACACCTAACACCTACCGGCTCGTTTTCTTTAGACCAGTTGGTTTGTAAACCAAAGGAATGAATGACAATCGTGTTTAAAAGTCTCACTTGCAATTTTTGCAGATTCTCAGGCAAAACTGTTATAGATCCTATTTCTGCAAAATCGCCTGAGAGTTCGTCCAAAGGCTTCGGCAAATCAACTGGAGCTGCAGTACCATCAATCATCGATGCTAAAGTGCTTGTAGCCAACGAAAACTCCTTTGCAGCACTTACAATAGCCCAAATGTCTACCAAGAACATTTACGACTTAACATGTATTCACAAAAGTAGACTCAAATGCTGCGTATCATAAACCTTTGCTCACCTGAATTATTTGATGCCATGGAGTGAAATCTAAGGAAGACTGGAAGTGGGAACAGTAAGAATTCGCATAAATCTGCTTGTATCGATGAGCTCTTTAAAAGGCTTAAAGAGTCATTTTTAGTGGAATCAAATATGGTATCCATGATCGACTTTAGATTCCTCCTCGAAAACAAAAATGGAAACGAGCATGCGATCGCACGGACGTAAAAATAGCATAAACTATCCATTCGTGGATTGGTCTAAAACATTGAAAATGATTACAAAATACCAAGTATTGTGTCGGATTTTGGTGGAATAGATATTACGGAACGATAGTCACCGCATACCTTAGTAGCCTCAATAACACCTAGTTGATTGTAGGCATGCCCACAGGTTGGATCTATTAACCAAGCCGAGACATAGTAGGAGACTGCAATTTTGTGTTGGTGCTGATACCTTGCCAAATCTCCCAGATGGATGCAACAGTGCTGAACCAGGTACACCACAGCTTCAGAGAGACTGATTTTCAAAGGCGAAGTGGCCTCTTTTCTAACAGAAAGCGGTTCGGCGGAGAAGACTCCAGAATCGGGGAGTCTTTCGCCACGCGGCAGGATTATGGGTCGTTGCTGACTGTCCTCAATTGCGGTAACAAATTTAGTTGCATCGAGTAGAGCGGCTTTCTCCTTGCGGCTGAAACGAGTGAGCTGTGTCTGAAGAGTTACGGCATCCAAGTCAAACCGGCCGCCTCCCCAACAAACTCTGCCAGAGGTCGGTGCGTTGACAGTAAATGCGGTTTCAGTAATCTAGAAAAAAAAGATGGTGAAAGATTCCAAACATTGATTTATGGACTAGTTAAGGAACATACGTTTTTAGTCCATGCAGAGTCTGGTAGGCGGTCCAGCAACTTATGCATCAAAGTAGAATAAAAGCCGAATGCACGGTCGATCAGAGAGACCAAGCGTTGCTGATACTCGTACACATTCGAATAGTTGGAACTCTTTCGCAGCTAAAAAGGTTACAATGACAGACAAAATCGTAAAATAGGAATAAAAGGTTACACAAAGTTTAAAATTGCAAGAAAAACAATTGCCATTAGAAGTAACCATAGTTGTGAAAGCGAACTAAAGATGTTAATAGCAAAGAAACATTTGGCACAAGTACAAATGAGATAGTTGAATTTAGGGTCCGAAATCACGAATCACATAGATTCTGACTTTTAGCAGGCAAAAAGCAATATTACAAGCACTGAAAATATAGAAAAATAAAGGGAATATGTGTAATAAAAAGCAACAGTAGTGCAAAAGCTTAAATACAACAGCATAATAAAGGAGGAGTCAAAATGGGAGCGCAGGATTGCTATATTTGGCGTACTTCTTCAATGCAGGTATTTAACGGTCCCTTGAAAACAGTATTCCAAAGTTCAACTTCAAATTTGCGCTCTAATGAAAGCAATGGGTCGAAAAATATGACCGTTCCATAATGCTCCTGCAACTTTAGAAGTAACTCATTCCTTGAACAATACGACTTTCGCGAAGGCAAAAGACTCTTTAGTCGGAAAATCTCCGAAAAAGCGTTTTTGAAAATCCTAGCATCCCTTGGATCCATGCGAGTAAACACAACCTGCAGTCACAGGGAACCAATTGCTTGTAAAAGCCGCATATACTTCAAATCAATTGAAACCAAACTTCTATGGTGTGATGTATAAAAGAAGCAATATTTGCCGTTTTTAAGAATTTACTTCTATTCATATTTAAAACAGTTTTTAAGGTCGAAAAAAGTTGTGATTTGATGCGATATTTTTGGTTTGTTTTAGAACGCGCACCACAATTTCCCATTAATGATAAATTTTAAAAATTTTAGATGCACCTAAAGGAATTATTTTTGTTTGTAATTTTTTTACAAGCAAATAATGGTTAAAATATAACTTTGGGGTCCAATTGTTTCTTTCCGTATATGTTATATTTAAACCCAGATTTTTCAGTCTGCTTCAAATCAAAGTAAAAACAAAATAAACTTAAGGTAGAGGATGTAATTCTTTGGCCGAATATGCTGCTTATTCAATATAAGTGCTTGGTTTGGCTTTTAGTTATGTATATTGACAGGCGACTGCTAGGCTAATCAATTTCCAAATACCTTGGTAAATAGGCGGCCTGTTTATTTGTTTAATTAATTACAGCAATTATGGTTGAGTAATGTTGCGTTTCGCAGTTTTTGAAAATCACTTTAATGTGTTTTAGGTGCATCTCTCTGATTTGGTGAAGTTTGTTGTCGGCGGTAAAACGAGTACCTTCGCAGGTTTGTCTTTCTCTGGGTTGAGCTCTTCCTCGGCTGGACTATTGGGTTCGAGTCCGCACTGGTTATTTGTAATACGATGAAGCTTAAATTTATCCATAATGGGTTTGTTTCCTTAACTATACAAGTTCGTTTATCAGTACCATCACAATCACTGAATTGGAGCCCAGCTTTGAATTTCAGCAACTTCTGTCTGCTGTTCAGGGATTATATCACCTCACAGCAGAAGCAGTGCTTACAATGAAATGGATCGATGATGAAGGGGATCCCTGTATGCTAACTAGTGATGCAGAACTTAAGGAAGCAATTAGACTTTATCAAATTAACAAGGAACCCTTCATTGCTATTCATGGTAATTTGTTGAAGTAATGCGTATTGCTATGTCGATGCGTTGCCTGTAATGTGTTAGTGCTGTATTTTCTTCACAACTACTCATTTTTCAAACCAAAACAGTTTAGTTCTTTAATTTGCAGTATGCACTCCTGGTATCGCATTTGTTAGAATTAATGTAGAAGGAAGTGAGGTGTAGTTTTGAGACTTCTCCTCCTAGCACTACGTTGCCGGGTATTCTCATAAAGCGTTTGTTAAGATCTGGTGCTGCTTAGTATTGTTGGTATGTTTGCATTGTGTCATTTTTCAACAATTTAGTGTTCAACGGAGCACCGTCAGATCCAGGAATGCTGTGTCCCGGGGAGGATTGTGAGTCTTTTTAAAAAGGCCTATTTTAAAGTTTTTTCCTGCCAAATCAGCAAATTTTGTCCTGTCTTCCCCAATTTTTCCGTTTAATTTCTCAAATATAGTCAAAATGTATCGCCGCGGTGCCAAACGTTGGAACAAGAAGTTTTATTATCTGAAGGGTCATAATTTTCTCGCTCGACGTTTTAACAAAGTGCGTTTTCCTCCAAAGCTTTTACTTTGGATATTTTTATCGCATTATCTAATCATGGGTCCGATTTTCATGTCTTTGGGAATCATTAGCACCTTAACAGGCTTTGAAAAAGGATTCTTGATTAATTTTTTGAGATTTTGTGACTCTCACGCTTGTCTATTGATGCTGATTCCTAATCGATTGTTGTATATTTTTACGAGTCAGCGGGATTACTACTGACCGTCAACTTTACCTGTTTCCTGGATTCAATTATTTACGAGTTGCATGTGGATGTCTCCCTTTTTTTGGGCTGATGAAGATAGTTAATGATATTGTATTGTTGCGGATAGAATGCATTGTGCGCCTACTGCGGTGACAGAATATGGGGGCTGGGACAGCAGGGTTATAAGTGCAATGCCTGCAAACTACTTATCCACAAGCGCTGCGCTCCCTCCGTCGACTTTTACTGCGGCGAGGTCCCACCCACTCACGAGGTTGTGCGGCAGCGTCCTGTCACTGTCAGTAGTGCTGGGACTGAGGGTAAGTTGACCTCACTGAATAGTGCGAGGTTTCGATATAAAGTAGCCAGCTCATTCCAATGGTCTTACTCAACATTTCCGTTTGGTACCTAAACAAGCTAAGGGAAAATCTAAAATAAGAGTAGTTGATTGTAGGCTACATCTAAGACCTTTTTTGCAGCTTGCTTATTTTTAGTCGCAGCTACTCTCAATATACTCATATCCTGAACATCATTGATTTCCTGCTCCCAGTACAGTATCTGTACTCTATAACCTCTTCCTATTTTCAGAAATGCTTGTATCTGATGGAATTCAAAACAACGCTTTTGTGTCATCAGTGAGTCTTGAGCGCATATTTTTTTATGCTATTACCTTCTCCAATGAATAGTTCTTCTTGAGGTTATAAAAACATGTGGGGGCAAGTATTTACGTCAGTGGGGTTGCATTGACTTTGAGAATACAAATCTCTGCTTGAAATATATTTTAGTTATTTGAGAAGTCCCTTAATTAAGTTACTTACCGAATAATCTTGTTATGGAACCATCCACTCACCCTCTTAGATCCCCTACTGTATTGGAATTATTCATCGAAATCTGCCTAAATTATTCCAGCTAGGCTACTTAAGATGACGAAATAATTTGTATTTGAGAACCATTCTTAACCTTCTATCTGCAATATTGAAGGTGGTGAGTTAGCTGTGCATACCAGACCCAGAACTATATGAGCTTTAGCCAGTGTGAATTTTAAAGCAGCCAAAGAATGCTTATTAGCGACTATTCTGTTTACTCTTTTCATTTTTTTATAATGGAGGGTCGTGAAATGGGCCGTGGCGGCGCTTCAGAGCACAAGAACAAGCAGCTGGCCAAGGTGGAGGGAGACGGTGTAGTGATTCCGCAAATCCCCGTCAAGTCTGAGCAAGTAGGCTTAGAACATTTCAAACTCCTCCGCGTAATCGGTCGTGGCAGCTACGCAAAGGTCTTCCAGGTAGAGTACAAACCCACCTCCAAGATCTACGCGATGAAGGTCATCAAAAAGGAGATTATCACTGACGAGGAGGTGAGATCTCTATCCCCTCTTTCCCTTGCTATAACCTTACTATAGTACCCCAGCCTCAAATTATCGGTGATTTTTCATCTCTAATATTGTCCTTGGAGTTCTGTTTGGAGATGTTTCCTGCTGATGCCTTTCTGTTTTTACATTTTTATAATCCGTGCCTATTTCTCCTTTAGGATATTGATTGGGTTCAAACCGAGAAGCATGTCTTCGAAATTGCTAGTAATCATCCTTTCTTGGTGGGCCTTCATTCCTGTTTCCAAACTCCTAGCCGGCAAGTTTGATTTTGGTTAAGTTTCGAGCGGTACTTCCATTGCGATTAAGCGCAGCGGTGTTAGCTTATGAAACGCTTTTCTAAGCAGGTTCGGAGGCAGCTTTTTGCGTGGGCCACTGTCTAAAAGTTCATTGCGTTCATCTTGTTGTTCCACGGTACTCCTGGTCTGCTCTCGGTGAGCACACTGTGGTGCGTGCGATGCAACCATAGTAATAGCCAATTTCTCTCGTTGCATGGGTGCGCGTGCCACTGAATCTGCGCTAGTCACGATGACTTTCGCATGAGTGTGCGTGTGCTCTGGTGCGTGCTTTGACACCTACATTACTGCATGAGAACACTAATTGTGCACTCACTCTTCCCGATCCAGGTTGGAATTGGCTGTAGCACCAGTTATTCCTAGAGGTATCTTAAGGTACCTGTTTGGAAGCAGGTTTGGGATAAACAGTAGACAACGATTTGGAGACTACTATCCGAGGGGAATATGAGCATAACTCTATTAGCGCGACACCCAAATAGGAGAGACGACAATAAGGCTTGTGTAGTTAGATATACTTTTTAAATAAATGCCGTTCTGTCGCGTTGGTTGTTATTGGTGGTGTTAGGAGTTTGCTTTGTGATTGTCGGTCCCGGCGACTGGCTCGATAGTGCCAACTTCGACCATGATTGCAAGCCACGAACAGCAGCAAAGTTTGTATGATGTTCCACATCTGACCTGCACGTCCAGCACTACTGTGCGGGTGAATACAGCTTACCATCTTGGGCCTTAAAATGCGCTACGATGAGAGTGCGTGTTGGCAATGCTGGGGCAACCCCAAATCGGTCGCCTCTTCTGTGCTTGTTAATGTTCACTAAATTAAAAATTTTGAAAGTGGTATTAAGAAGGCATGCTTCATACATCACATTACAACGTTTTCTCATTAAGTTGTTTCAGTAAACACCTTTCACACCGGGTGCAAGCGTGATAAGTGGCAGTTTGCAGGTTGTTGTGTCATTCGTCGAGTAGTATATTATTTACTGAGCTCTTTCATGCAATGTCTTGATTTTGCGCGTAAGCTACTGAATAAATTCAATTATTTTATTCAGGTCAATCAGATTAGTTTCGACTTGAGGTGCTGCCAGCAATAAGTGTTTAACATGCAATTATCCTACCAGATAAATGAAATGTAGCGCAAAGAGGCTGATTTCACATTAATCATATGTGCAACCAGGCTCTTTTTCGTGATCGAGTTCATCAACGGGGGGGATCTGATGTACCACATGCAACGCCAATGTCGCCTGCACGAAGACCACGCAAAGTTCTACGCTGCTGAGATCTGCATTGCTATGAACTTCCTCCACGAGCGTCAAATTGTCTACCGCGATCTAAAGTTGGACAACGTCCTCATGGATCTCGAAGGCCACATCAAACTCACCGATTATGGCATGTGTAAGGTCAGCTTCATTCATAGTGTGCGGTAAATTTTATTTATACTAATGACACCGGACATTCCCAATGCATTATTTTGAATTGGGCAAACATTCAGTTCCTGTGATGGTCAAGCAACATAATTGCGAGTGAAGTTGCACACTATAATCCATCCTTTCTATAGCTTAGGCGCCAATGCTTTTGCATCATGGTTGTCCTTGCTTCCATTCTACTTTCCCAAATGAGCGATTCATCTGGTTTGTCTAACTCTACAGTTTAACCGTATTTATTTTGCAATTGCTTGTTCAGAATCCTAAATGTGCTTTTTGATGAATATTCACCAGCAACATTAGGAAACTTAACTGTTTTTCAAACCAAATTCCTCTTCTTCCCATTTTATAAAAGTGGCTAAGCCGATTTGCTGACAGTCAATTTCATCCAACTGCCATACAGCTGAGGTTGCTCCTTAATTTACCTAATCTAAGCGACTAATGCCGACGCTTCGACCCTAAACAGGAGGGCATCTCTGAGACGAACCTCACTTCCACCTTCTGTGGCACTCCGAATTATATCGCGCCTGAGATTCTTCGCAACGAAAGATACAGTACGTAAATTTTGCATATGTGCCTGTGTTTACCTTTTTGACTCCCACTGAAACAGACGCGACTTATGGACGGCGATTGTGCCATATACCATCATTGAGTGATTGCGCCCAATTTCTTCCTCCCTCCCTCATGTACCCTTCCCACCACTCGACTTTATTGCAATGTTTAAGTCAACTTCAAGAGGGGCTTCCTCATTCAATAACGTGCTTCAAATAATACAACGATGTCTTGATAGGGCTTCCAATGCTCACCGTTACCTACTTGAAAGCATGTTCTAATCTACGGGCGAGGAACAGTTTAAGGTCCCGTTGTCATTATTCACTTAATTCATCCGCATGATTTTCTCTAAGTTTATTGCTTACCGGTGGCCTAATTAAAGCGATTAGTATTACCTACCTTTCATAATCGACTCTACAACGTGTTTTTTCACTTGAACAAGATTTTACTCCACGGTGTAGTGTGGATCACCATGCTTTGCAGGTTTCAGTGTGGACTGGTGGGCTCTGGGCGTACTGATGTTTGAGATGGTCTCCGGGCGATCTCCATGGGAGGGTATCGGATCTTCCAACAACCCCGATCAAAACACCGAGGAATACCTCTTTCAAGGTATTGCTCACCACTTTAATCTATTTTCATCAAACACCTCACGATAAATATCTTTACTTGATATTTCCCTCACCACGTCACATCCCTTTGTACTTAAAGGTCCACTATTTAATTGATCTTAACATTGCTTGATTGAAAATTTGATAAAATATGGATACAACGCTTTTAAATTTGTCAATATTTTAAGGAGTCTGTTCTCAATGCTGATGTGTTATGTTGAGCTTGTTTTTCTGAATTTGGGCTAATTAAGGGCAGAGACGACCGTGTTTTTGTAAAGTGCAATCTACTGAATAGTCTCATATACTCTGTGCACTGTTAGTGCTTTTTTCTCCTTCAGTTATCCTCACCAAGCCCATTCGATATCCCCGATCTATTTCAGTGAAAGCCAGCAATATACTTCAGCGGTTCCTCAATAAGGCAAGTTGATCTGAAGCCGACACAAGTGCCTAAATTTAATGCATTGGATTAGATTTATGTTAGGTGATGTACGTTAGCAAGCATTTTCTTAAGCACTGACCGTCTTAACGTCTGATTTATGTGGCTACCTCTTTAATTGATAGCAGAAGGGCCAATACTTTTTACGAAGCCTGTACTAAGTCCATGAGGGAAGATTTGGTTGCGAATGTGGTATGATTGTAGGATCCCACAGAGCGCCTGGGCTGTGCGCCAAATTCTAACTTTGCGGATATCCAGAATCAGCCTTTCTTTGCCTCCATTGACTGGGTGGCGCTCGAGCAGAAGCGCGTGCAACCTCCCTACCGACCGGAGGAGACGGATGATTACAACCTCATCCATTTCGATCCCACCTTCACCAATGAGAAAGTCTGCTTCACCCCCGACGATCCGTTAGTCTCTCTCGTTTACCCTTTTTCCTAGGACCTAAGCTCCTTTTTGGTACTAGTATGGTATTAAGTACTCTTGTAGGAGGTGCTCATACATTCTAAATTAATCCTTGCTCTGCGGGGTTGCAGTAATGATCTAATGTCCTAACAACATGAGCAGGTGTTGCAATTTCTTTGGGTCGGTGCCCGTATAGCGCTGAATTCTGATTTTACTCTTTGACTTGCCCTTCTTTTGCAAATTTTCGTTCAATGAGACGCTAACTGTCTCCACCCGACTAAGGTTAAATTAGTTTATGAAATCTACGATTACCGTCAATTGTAGGAGTTGGAAAAGTTCCATTGTCAGCTATTTTGCTTAAGCCAAGTAAATGATGGAATTAGGTCTACTTATTTCGTAAGATTAAACTTTCCCAACATCAACGTTTGTTTTGCAGCGAAGTTATCCGAGCAATCGACCAATCAGAGTTTGATGGTTTTGAGTACCTCAATCCTTTGCTAATCAAGACCGCGGAGACAGTTTGAATTAGCAATTCTCCCCCCTCCTTCTCCCTGACCTCCACTCAGTCACATATCAATCCCCTTCTCCCACTCTCCCCACTCCACTTTCGCATTACACTGCTGCGACTCTCGCTACCACCATTGGTTGTAAGCAGACAAGGCACCCGTCCTAAGCACTACCACTAACGCCCTATCATGTGTTCTTTTTCTCTCCGAAGTGATTTGCGCGGTCACATGTTGAGCCGCCTCATCCAAACCCTATAATTTTATTGCAAATCTGCTCCTGACAAGACTAGCTGGACAAATCTACGCTGTTTTTTTATTAACATCTTATTAGACCTAAATCAACACCGATTCACATTTTTTCTCATTTTCCATGGGAAGGAGTGGGATTTCCCCCCTAGTTACTGAGGCCTACATTTATTCCCCTCGCCCGCAGCAAGACGTTGCACACCAGAAAAGGGGTGCGCGTCGAATCATCTTTTTAGGTCTAGAAGAAACCCCAGAGACCACTTGTTGCATTTATGAATTATTTTGAACGTCTGTGCCAACAATTTTAGTCAGTCATCAAGAGGTGAAATATTAAGATGACTGAATTAATGGAAGGCGTTAAAGACGGTGATGTGGGATATGGTAATAATGTGCGTCGCTCC